TCGCTCTTGCTCAAGCTGGTCTCGAACTCCTGAGCTCAAACAATCCGCCCGCCTCGGCCTCCCAGAGTGCTAGGATTACAGGCGTGAGCCACCGCACCCGGCCTAGATATTTAGAATTTTTAATATTAAATCTTTGTTGCAATTGAAATACTTTTTTCTACATTCAGCAAAAATATTTTTTTAATCGCTAGGAAACTGTATCTGTTCACATATTTGATGATCAAAATTAAGTTCTTCCCGCTCTCTTCTTGAAATGATATAAAACCAATTCATATGCTCTATTAATTAAACCTATTTTAAGAAAGCAGACCTTTCTGTGAAATATAAAATATGTAAAATCTTTAATAATATAATTTAAAATGATTTAAAGTAAGACTTTCAATCAAACAAGGGTTCTCACCTTGGCTGCTGCTGACGGAAGATCAAATGGAATACGTTGTCTGATTTTAGAGGGCAGTTGGGTTAAAACTTCAGACTTTAATCTTCTAATCATTATGTCACTTAATAGCTGGTGAAGTTCATTAAGATTTGATGCCCCTCTACAATCCCACTGAGGCCTTTTTCCAAAATATCTGTTAATATGAAGAAAAAACATGTAGCAAAGCTGAATGCTAGAGTAAGAAAATAATTTATCCAATGTGTTCTTCCTTTTAATGATAAGGAGCCATGACACCATTTTCATTGTTATTTCTGAATGAAAATTAGTTTCAAAAAGCTCAGCCTGAGAAATAGTAATGAATAAGATTAGACATTACTCTCAACTAGAGAAAATGTTAGTGTCACTCTAAACATACTGTTTATACTGAGTTACTGGAAGGCTGAGATGAACTGATAACTCTGAATTGCACTAGGTCATTGTTTACAAATGGGGGTGCTACTGGCATTCTGGGTGGGCTCACAAGGATAGTGTGTTTAGCAGGTCTAGCCCCTAAGTAGGCATGAACAGCAGTCAGTCATAACGACCAAAAATACCTAGAACATTTTCTGTACCCTCTAGGAGGAAATATTAACATCTCTAATTGAGCTGTTAAGCATAGCAGATTGATTACTTGGTGGTCTCTTCTTCCTTTGAAAGCACTTGGTTGACAGCAAGGAATTTAAAACACACACAAATCCACTGTGAAAGAGAGAATGAGAGAAGAGACACTTGAGATTAAGAAATTTCAAGAAATATTTAGAACGCAAAATGCAGACAGACAAGTGGTAACTGACTTGGCAAAAGAAAGAAAGCAACAACTTAAAATGCTTGCAAAATACAATTTATTTTCTAGATCCCTGAGAAGATCAGCAGTTGGGAAGCACCACATACTGTGAGCAAGTGTTAAGACAAGAGTTAAAATCTAGTAGATCAATTGAACTTATACATCAGGACATCTGGCCCAATAACAGCCCCCTATCATTGTGCCAATAAAAATACTATCCCATAAAACTCTCAAACATCTCCTAGGGGCCTCATACTAACCACTAGTGAAAACAATTGTTAAAGAATAATCAAAGGAAAAATTCTTATTAGGCTGAATTATGATTACTAATATTAATAATTTAAGTAAATATCCATTTTAATGGGATTTTGGTATATTTTAGCAAAAGTAGGTGTCAATTTGAGAAACTCAGAACTTGCTAACATTAACTTTTAGTTTAACATATTAAACTAAACATACAGGAGTGGTACATACATTAAAAATATGTACTTGTATGTAGACTTGATTAGAAAAGTATAGTACTGTATGATAAAATGATACTGACACCATTTAGTTGTCATTGATAAGAAATTGTTTTAAAAAAATCTAAGTGCCGTCACTGTATAAAAATTTAATAGGTTTATTTATAATTGTTATAAATGGAATTGCTGAAACTTGTTCATTGAATTATTTTGAATTCCTTTAATGCATTATGTCCTTACATTAAAAATTCACACACTAATGAAAATGAAAAAATACTTGCCAATATCTGATTCTGTCACCTATTTTTCCATTCATATACTTAGGTACATTTTGACCACATGGTTTGAAAAAAAAATCTAACGTTCAGAACTACCAATAATGGAAAGGAGAGGTTGGTAGGTTGTGTTTTGTTTGTGGTTTTTTTTTTTTGGAAAAAGAAATATTTGCCACTAAAATAGATTCTTAAGCACACTTCCCACTTACATGAGACATTCTGCAGGTGTGCAATATGCTAGCTGGAGGTCTTCTGGTATGATTGTTACATGCTGGCACAGAGAGAACATAGGTGTTTTCAAATAGGCCTTACTGCCTCCTGCAGAGCACCAATATCGGTGCCCCAGAAGAGCAGATCTGTTTTGAAGTCTTAGCAATCTGATTTCAGAGTGCCATAGTACCAGTACAGGTCTGTAATGATGAGGTTTCTTCACTGCTCCAGGAGAGCACACACTATTGAGAGAAGATTTAGCTAGCTGCCTCCTGGGCATTTTACCACTAGTTGATTATAAGACATATGTTTGGAATGAACCACCATGGTTCAGAGGAATTATTTCTCACCCCCTGGGAATGCTAGAGGTAGTATTTGCTCTAAAGAGTGTTGGCAAGACCAGTTATTTGCCGAATCCCCAACCTCATGTTTAGGGTGCGAAGGAGAAATAAGAGAAAGAGGAGGGGTAGAAGAAGTGCCAACTGTAAAATCCTGGTCTCTTCCCATTAAACTTGATAGTAATTATATATACTTTTTGGAATACCTTACTTTTTAAAACAGATTTATTGAAATAGAATTTATAATGCCATACAATTCACCCAAAGCGTACAATTCAATGGTTTTTAGATAGTCACAGATGTGTGCAACCATCACAATAAATTGCAGGACATTTTCATCACCTCAAGAAGGAACCTTGTATCCTTTACTTATCACCCCAAACCTTTGTCATGCCTCCCCAGCCCTAAGCAACGACTCATCTATTTTCTATCTCTATATATTTCCCTGTTCTGGACTTTCATGAGTAAAGTCATATAGTATGTGGTCTTTTGTGACTGGCTTCTTTCACCTAGCATGTTTTCAGGGTTCATCCATGTTGTACCATGTGTCAGTATTTCATTCCTTTTTAAGGCCAAGTAACATTCCATTGTATGGATATACCACAATTTGTTTATCCATTTATCCACTGATAGACATCTGGGTTGTTTCCAACTTTTGTCTCTTGTGAATAAAGCTGCTATAAACATTCATGTATAAGTTTCTGTGTGGTCATATATTCTCATTTTACCTGGGAATATACCTAGGAGTGGAATGGCTGGGTCATATGATAACTCTACGTTTAATCATTTGAGGAAGTACCAGAATGTTTCCCAAATCACCTAGATTAGTTTACATTCCCACCAGCTGCATATGAGGGTTCCAATTTTTCCACATCCTTGTCAACACTTGTTGTTATCAGACTTTTTGATTCTAGCCATCCTAGTGAGTATAAAGTGGTATCTCATTATGGTTTTGATTTGCATTTCCTGATAATTAATGATGTCAAGCATTTTTTAATGTGCTTGTCGGCCATTTGTATATCTTTTTTAGAGAAATGTCTATTCAAATCCTTTGCCTGTTTTTGAATTGTGTTGTCTTTTTATTATTGGGTTGTAAGAGCTCTTTATATATCCTACCACAAGTCCCTTATCAAATATATTTCTTGCAAATATTTTCTTGCATTCTGTACATTCTTTTGAATTTCTTGATGGTGCCCCTTGAAGTCCAAAAGTTACTCATTTTGATGAAGTACAATTTGTCTAGTTCTTTTGTTGCTAGTGCTTTCAGTGTCCTATTTAAGAACATCCTGCCAAATCCAAGATATGAAGATTTATCCATATGTTTTCTAGTTTTTACTTTTAGTTTTAACTTTTTGATCCATTTTGAGTTGGTTTTTAAATACGGTGTGAGGTGATGGTCCAAATTCATTCTTTTCTGTGTGGCTATCCAGTTGTCCCAGAACCATCTGAATGCATTGATAGTATAGTAGTTTTATTTGGACTATCAATTCTATTCATCTAGATATCTATCCTTGTGTTAGTACCACACTATTTGATTACAATTGTAACCAAGACTTCCAATAATATTTTTCTTTTTTAAGATTATTTAGGCTATTCTGGGTTCCTTAAAATTTCATATAAATTTTAGAATGAGCTTGTCAATGTACAAAGAAGTCATCTAAGATTCTGATAGGGATTGTAGATAAGTTTGAGGAGTATTACCATCGTAACAGTCCTGAATCTTTCTGATCCATGAACATAGGCTGTCTGCCCCCTAATTTAGATCTTCTTTCATTTCTTTCAACATTTTATAATTTTCAGAATATAAATTTTGCATATCACTTATTAAATTTATTCCTAAATATTTTATTCTTTTTGATGCTATTGTGAATAAGATTTTCTTCATTTCATTTTTAGATTGCTCATTCCAAGTATATAGAAATATAATTAATTTTTGTATATTGATCTTATATACTCTAAACTTGCTAATTTATTAGTTTTAATCATTTTTAGTGGATTTCTTAGGATTTTCTATATACAAGATCATGTCTTCTGCAAATAGACAGTTTTATTTCTTCCTTTCCAATCTGTATGCCTTTTTTTCCTTGCCTAATTGCTCTGGCTAGAAGTTCTAGTACAATCTTGAATGAAAGTTGTGATAGCAGACATCGTTGTCTTATCCCCATCTTAGAGAAAAGCATTCCGTCTTTGACTATTAAATGTGGTTTTATCTGTGAGTTTTTTTATACATGCCCTTTATCAGGTTGAAAATATTGGTAATTATATTTTTGACATTTGAGAATTAGCCTTAGAATTGTTTTTCAGAAATAAATTGCCTACATTGGCAGACAAAGACTGTGTTGATGTGGTTCAGGAAAAAAATAAAGAGGATAAAGAGGATAAAGAGTATCTGAACCGAGGATGTAGCTATGGAGAAAAGCTAGATACAGATTCAAGAAATGTTAAAACAAGCGTCTGCAGGACACGGTAACTGACTGAATGTCAGCAGTAAAGTATAAGCAGTAGTTAGGACTTCTAGGTTTTAACTTGTAAGACTGAATCTTAATCAACCAAGATTGAATCTACTGGCTGAAGAACAGTTTTTTTGGGGGCAAGTTAAGTACAGTTTTGAATATGTTTTATGTGCTTATAACATATAGATACACTGAAGATTCCTAGTACAACATTGTATTGGTTGAATTTTCAGGAGAACACAGTGGGTTAGAGATATAGATACCACATGAGTTTTGTAGTAAAAGCCAGAAAGCCAGTTGAAACTAGTCAGTGACAGAGGAAAAAATGAAAAGGAAAGATGGTCATTTTTCTTCTGCTACCCTAGAAATAATTCCTATTATTCCCTCTAACGAAATTTCCTCCAAATCACTGGCCTGTTCGAATATAATGAATTGGTATAACTACACTGGAATTTATGAGTCCTAATGCATGCTGAGACTAAAGACAGTAAAAATGGTTTCACGAAGTAGTTTTTGAAATAAATAATTTTCATTTATATACCTATATTCAATAAAGATATCACATAGTCCAATTATCAAAAAAGATACACAATAAACCAGTGATTGCATAATAGTCACTTGTAAAAACTATGC